GCTGCTTGGCCTGCTGTGTTCATCCAGCTCTACACCTTGTTATCTCACTAAAAGAGGTCATTTGGCCAGCCTTCCTCCTTCCCATTTATCCTGACCCTTTTCCCAGAACCCAGGGGGGATTGAATAGGAATGGTTGCCAACTAGGACTACCTGCTGTTAGAACTATCAGCCTCCATACCTGCTCAATTGTTTCGCAATTAGGAGCCTCGATCCACCTCTACTGTCATATAATGCTGTGCAAGAGGTCTTGTTGTGCAGTGGTAGTGTCCCTACCTCTGTACCAGGAGGTGTACATTCAAGTGCCTCTCATTCCAGAGTGTATAATAACATCTCTGAACAGAAAAAAAACACCGAAGGAACTGAGGATGCTATAAACCAGGAACAGAAACAAAGTTGCTGGAAAAGCTCAGCAGGTCTGGCAGCATCTGTGAAGGAAAAAACAGAGTTAACGTTTTGGGTCCGGTGACCCAAGTTCTGAGGAAGGGTCACCGGGCCAGAAACGTTAACTCTGTTTTTTCCCTTCACATCTCTGAACAGATGGATTTAGCAAATATCTACCTTGCTGGGCAGTGGCAGGCAGCACAGAGTATGAAGGTTGTTTTTGAAGGGAATCTTTGAAAAGGAAGGAAGGCACATTGTTTGGGGAGACCAACTCCCTGAAGACTAAAAACACCATTTTGTTCCCTCTCACCTGCAATAAAGGTTCCCAATCTTCATTTTCTCCCCCACCTCCACATTTTATGAGCTCCCGAATTACTGCTCGACTTAAAAGCCTGGGCCTTACCTGTTCTCGCTGCAGGATAAAGGTCTAACTCTCAGCCTGTTTAGCCTAAACATCCACCCTCACCTTACACCCGACGTCAGTGTTTTATTGCTGGGAACAGACTTTTTAAAATTCAGGGCTGACTTTCCTTCTGTGGAGGAGGGGAGGTCAAACAGCCTGCAACCAGACCCTATCGATTCCATACAGCCCAGCACTCTGACTTACAGAGGCGTTCAAGAGGCACCCCACACCCCAAGGTCAACTCACAAGTTTATTCATGTCACCTGTATGTTCTACTTTCTGTTTTGTTTGTCAACTATGGGATATGGGTGTCACTCTCAAAGCCAACACTTGTGGCACGTCCTTAGTCACCTTGAATTGATTGGCTGTCCTGGCATCACAGAGCACAACTCAGAGTCAACCATATTACTATGGGTCTGGAGTCACATGTAGGCCAGACAGCATGTTTCCTTCTGAAAAGGGCGTTAGCGAACAAGGTAGGTATTTAGGACAATGAACATAGTGTCAATAGCTAGCTATTCATTTTTAAAATTACAGATTTTTAAAAATAAGATTCAAATTTCAACCTCTGCCCTGGTGGGGTTCAAAACTACATCCCCAGGCCATTAGTCGGGATCTCTGGTCCAGTGATATTACCGCTACACCATCTCCCTTGCTCTTCCATCATAGATTTGTAATTTATAGATTAGATTTATTCAGATTTTACTAAGGCCAGCAGAGCTGATTAATGAAAAGAAAAAGCTAATTGTTTGAGGTGGCTCCAACATTCTGAGAGACAAACCATGAGAATACATCGACTATCATTGCATTTTGGGACATGAATACGCAACTCTGGAAAGCCTTTATATTTATAGCTAGAACTAATTCCATGCAGACCACCTGTCAGATTCTGTTCAGCTGATAGTCAGTATTTGGACCCATGTACCAGCTTGTCAGCAAGTCAGCAGAAGCAGCAGCATTTTTTTTGTTGCTAGGAGAGGTGATTGTCAGAATTGATCACACTAAAGGGTTCATTGGAGCATGTCAAAACCAAACTAGTTGGGTGCTGAGATTTGAACCAATTACTTATTAAAATCTACTACATAAAATTTTAAGGTAGAGAAAGAAATTAAAATGAGATTTTAGTTTCTGAGAGATGGGTGTATCATAGCATTTTTGCCAAAAGAATACACATATACATATACAAAAAGTATATACATGAGAAATAACAGGAGTCACATAGAACATAGAACAGTACAGCACAGCACAAGCCCTTCGGCACATGATGTTGTGCCGACCTATTATCCTACGAAGATCAAACTACTCTGCATATCCTACATTATACTATCATCCATCTGCCTATCCAAGAGTCGCTTAAATGTCTCTTAAATATCTCTAATGTATCTGACTGTTTAAAGATCAGGGTCACTCATTTATAAAAAGTGACCAAGCAAAAAAAAAAATTTTCTCGAGTTTCGTTCAGAGTCAGCTAAAACATTTTTCTCAAGACTAAAGTAATTTAATAACAATTCTGTGATTAAGTGAATCTTTGGAATTCTCTTCCTTGATTGGTGGTGAAGGCAGAGACTTTTAAAATTTTTAAAGCAGATGTGGATAGATTTTTGTTAAGCAAGACCGTGAGAGATTATCAGGGCTAGGCAGGAATGTGGATTTAACGTCCAGATCCACCATGATCTTATTGAATGGTGGAGTAGTTTCTATGTACACGTTTGTTTTATTCAATCGAGTTTGTAGCTGCATTCTATGGTAAGATGAATACTCCTTAGTATTAAAGTTTGAACTGGTCTTATAAATCCATGTTGACTCTACCTGATTATGTTATGATTTTTTAAAATGTTTAAAACTCAGTAAGGGATTCTAGCATTCTCCTGATGACTGACGTTAACTAAAAAAACTATATACTTCCTAGCTTTTTGTCTCCTTCTTTCTCGAATGGTAGTGTTACATTGGTGATTATCCAAACCGCAGGGACTTTTCTGGATCTAGGAAGTTTTGGAAGATCACAGCTAATGCATCTACAAACTCTCAGCCATTTA